CCAGGGAACAGGGACAGGAGGAGAGGGAAYRGCCTCAGGCTGTGCCAGGGAGAGTTTAGGTTGGATATTGGGAACAATTCCTTCATGGAAAGGGTTGTCCAGCCCTGGCACAGCTGCCCAGAGCAGTGCTGGAGTCCCCATCCATGGAGGGATTTAAAAGCCTGTGGATGTGGCCCTTGGGGACATGGGGCAGAGGTGGCCTTGGCAGGGCTGGGGGAGYGGTCACACTAAATGCTCTCAGAGGGCTTTTCCAACCAAAATAATTGTGAAGTTGCCACCAGCTCTGCTGCTCCTGGCAAGGCCTGTCAGCCTGGGGAGGAGAAACAACCCCATCCCTCGGAGAGGCAGCAGGACTCGGTGACTCTCGGTGTGAAACCCTGGGAACACACCTGGGGTAGGAGCAGCACCACTGCAGTGTTTTCACCTGTCTAGGTGTGAAAGACAAGGTTCAGGGCTGGAAACACCCAAAACCACTGCTCCTTCCAGGGAAAATCCCAGCTGGGCTGCTCATCCCTTAAACCCCTTTTGAATTTTCATTAATTACGACTCAAAAGCATGGACAAAGCTTCTAACTCTCATCACCCAACTCCTGGCTAGAGTGAGCCCAACTACAGCTGTGTCTCCTGACTATTCCATACATTTTAATATATAAATACACATTATCTCTGTCTCTCCATACCCAGAGATGCAGATACACATCTATTTGCCTCACTCAACAAACAATTTAAGAATTAAGGAAAACCGTTCTCATTTTAAGATAAGAACTTCAGGCTTGATTATAACGCTGTAAAATAAAATCTGCCAGCACAAGCCACAGGGAAAAAAAAAAAGAAAAAAAAAGGAAGAAGTGATTCACTGGGGAAGTTCCATGATGTGCAGGACAATGGGTCTTAAATCAAAGGCATACATTATCATGACTAAGCTGACAGATCTGCACTGCAATGCAGGAAGCCAAGTGATATTCCAGSATCTGCACCGTGCTCCCACAGGCAGTTTGGACACAGAGATTCCCAAAATTAGGAAARCACTCCCCGAGCTCTTACCTGTTACCTGTGCAACAACTGCTTGGGAAATCCTCCGGTTGGCGAGGAAGGCTTTGATTTCCTCCTTGATCACACTGCTGTCCCTCCTACCAAAAACAAAAACACACAAAAAGAAAGACAGACCAAAGATGCAAAAAATACCTTTATTTCCTTCATTTAGGGGCTAAAGAATGGGGAAGGCTGGCATTGAAACAGCCCAAAATGCCTCAGTGGTGGCCACTTCTTTTCACAAGTGTCACGTTTGATCAAAGTACCRGAGCAGGAGAATGGATGACTCATGTCCCCTATAATTCATACGAGGTGCAGCACTGCCATATGGAATGCACAAAGTTTCATTACACAGGGAYGAATAAATCTCTTGTAGCAGCATAAAAACCTCACTCGTAAAAAACGAGGCAGAAAAATAAAAAATAAAGGAGAGCAGGGGCTGCATGGTTAGTTACCCAAATGAATATGCAGACACCAGCCTCCTCCAGCAGTCCTAAGGAAAGATGTGAAATTTTGCAGCCTCTGTCCCCAACTTTAGCCCCTGCTTAATCCAGAGCTTGCACTGAATGAACWGGGGTTATTGTATAATTTTTACATTTGTCTGCACAGGTAGTTCAGAAAGGGCTAAAACTGTGCTRAAAAGCAAATAACCTGGAGGGTGCACAGGTACAGCAAATTTCAACTGCAATAACCACACTCTTTGCACTCTTCCTCTCCCCCTTCCTGAGAAGGGCAGGCAATTAAAACCAGCCTTTATCAGGCTTATTTGGTCATTTCCCTTTCTCCCCTCCTGCTCCAGGTGCACTGAAGGYAGACTCAAGCTTGCAAATGTAAATGCAAAATAAATGCTGTGCTGTGGGTTCATTTTGATTTCTGTACCCGACACCCATCTTCTATATGCCTGCCAATAAAAGTAATTTCAGTTTAAATAAGCACTTAAAGCTTTACCTGAGATTCACTGCACAGGAACCCAAACCTGAGCCATGGGAACTTGGCACTGTGCTGTACTCACCCTTTCCTGCACGATCCCATCAGCCACAACCAACAGCAAACGAGCTTGATTGGCTTTTCTTACTGCTCATTTCTAATCTTCTCCCCACAAAGCCGCATCTTGCCCTGAAATCTCCAAACTACTTCCAACACATTTCCAACCTGGAGCTTATGGACCCCAGTTCTCTCATAGGTACTTCAGGAATGTTGCAGTTTTGGGGGGGAAATAAAAATTCCGACATTGTGACCAAAATTGTTTTGGGACGTTTGGCCTTTCCTCTTGTTTTATTTTGCTCTCAAAACCCACTGATTCTGACTTTCATCCTCAGGARTATAATCCCCTCCTTTCATCTTTGCCATAATGCTGCTAAAAGCAAAGGAAGGTCAGTCCCAAAAAAACCACACCCAGCTGACTCTCCCTGAAAACTTCTGCCTCTGATTCATTATTTGTATTTTCCTGGAGTTCTCTGCAAATCCCTGCCACAAACTATAAACAAGCAATGTGCCTGCTCTGGAAAACACTGACTAATCCAAGGTGGATTCCCTGCTCTCCCTCTACACAGAAGGAATTACAGCACGTGTGGAACAGTGGAACAAGAGCCATGTGAATTGATAATTGATCAGAATCCTGAATAAAAGCAGGGTGGAAAAGGAGTGCTCTGACATCAATCCCAATTTTTGGTACAGCGGGAGAAATGAAAAACCATGTGGGACACCCACATAGGGCCAGGGGCTGCCTCCACAAGGCTGGGGAGAGCTTCTGGGATGGTGACCCTTGGGAGTCAMCAGAGAGAGCTCCTGCTCTCCTGATAATCATCACCAAACCCTCATGGAATGGCTTKGGKTGGAAGGGAYCYTTCAAGGTMATTTAGTCYAAACCTACTGCWCTGAGCAGGGATAYCTTCAACTAGACCAGGCTGCTCAGAGCCTTGAACCCGGTTTGGTTGTCCCACCGAACCTTGAACGCTTCCAGGGATGGCAGATCCACCACCTCCCCCAGCATTTTACCACCCTCCAACCCCTACTTGAGCACCCTTCCAGCACACCCATTACTGCTGGGGCACTTCTCCCAACTTTTCACTTCCCCAGAGCCTCCCACTCACCTCATCAGCTCCTCCACCTTGTCGTCGATGTCCAAATCCTCCTCGGAAGCCTCAAAGCTGTAGGACCTCTGGGCCAGGCTGTTGGCCAGGGGGTAGCGGGTGGGTGACATCTTCCCGTTGAAGGCAGACAACCTTTCGTTACTCTCCCTCCCGTTCTGATTGGTAGTGCAAGGCTGCGGGGAGGTGTCGTAACTGTTGCTCGGGGACGGCGACATCCCGGAGTGCTGCGTCTGCGTGGAAGCCGTGGCCGTGGAGGACGACGCCGGCACGTTGTTGGTGCTGTTGCCGTAGGAGCCGCCGCCGTAGCCGGATCTCCTCCCGAATTTGTCGCTGTGCTCTTGGTCCAGGCGGTCCAAGGTTTCCAGGGCGTGCAGGATCTCATGCCTGGTCATTCCCGTGCGTCGCAGGCGCTGCAGGAGGTCGATCTGCTCTATGGTGAATCTTGGCTCGTCCGTGTAGTGAGACATGGTTTCCAGCAGGCTGCAAAAACACAAAATATTTCAGTTYGACAGTTCTSTGTGGCACATTGAAAGTATTTTATWCACCTGAGGGATCAAYTTTGGTGCAAATTTTAAGAYACACAYGTGACAGATCCAAAATCCACCTCCAAACCACCTCAGCTAGACACCTGCCATGAATGACCATGTCACCAACAGCGGAGGGATTTATTTTCCTTCCAGGACTCCAAYAGCATTTTGGCCCTCTCCTGKCATTCTCTACACCTGCACCAACCCTGCAGTTTGTGCATTTTTTGCATTTGATAAACTGCTGCTACAGAGACTACAGGGCTGTTCAGTAATTAAAGCTGCAATTTGTTTCCAGACAGAATTTTGCCCACTGTTAGGCACCCACCAGACAGAAATCCCACATTTCTGTGGTGGCCACAGATCTGAGTTTTTCCAGGAAAGTTTTAACCAGTTATGATGTGAGATTTATGAATCTCAGCTCTTTTAAATCTTAACTACAAAGAGTTCGAGTTGCCCTAACTTTTGTTGCTACCTTGAAAAAAAAAAGGAAGATAAAAACCCACCTAGCGGAAATTCTAGTGGCCTGTAGGACCCAAGTTGATTTGACTGAAGTTGGATTTCTGAAGTTAGGAACTTTTGAACCTGGAATGTTGTCACAGATTGCCTGCCCTGACAAGGAAAGWGCAGCACATCCAATTACTCCCAAGCTTTCATTTAAAGAAAGAAGTCTTCAGCCTTTTCCACTCCAAAGAGGGGCTTTGGAGAAAGAAGCTACCTGGCTTCTCAAGTGACTCAATCACCATGGTGGCTCAGCGAAATAATTTTTAACTCCTAAACTTCCCAAGGTGTCAAAACAATGAACACTATTTACTGCAAAGCCCAGAAAAGGAACTGAAAAAAAAAAAATAATCACGGTATGCTCCCTTAATCACTTTTATTTCCTGAGTCCCCTGGCTACAGATCCAAATGTCACACAAACAAGAAGATCTCCTCCTTCAGAACTCCAGATCTTGAGAAGAAGGGCTGGCAGATGGAGGGCAGGCAGAACTTGGCAAGCAGAACATGGCATTTTCCATCCTTCTCGGGCATCTTCTCGTGAGTCAATGGTTTATTACCATTCCTGCAGGAGAGCAGGGGGAGGAGATCACTCAAACCCCAGGARATGTGACAGAGTTGATGTAGAGTCCCTACGAGCCAGGGCAAACCATGGCTGAGGGAAAGTCAAGGGACAATTCCAAGGAGCCTGTGAAAGCCAGGAGAGGGCTGGGATGTCAGGGCTGAATGTTCCTCCCCACAAACTTTGAGGATGACTCCTCATGTCCACTTCTGCCCTGGCAAAGAGAAATTCCCAACAGCAGCCACAGGATGATTCGACATCTGTAGCTGGGGCTGAAGAACGACACCATGAACGGGTTTGT